GGTAAATCACATGACGGGATGTCTTGTGTACTTTCTAAAATCCATTTTGTATGGTAAGGGTCACGCGTGGTATGCTTCGGTCCCTTCTTATGTGGCTCAGACCCCGGTCTTCCCTTGGGTCCCACTTTAAGAGGCGTCCTGTCACTGGCTACAGGGACGCCCTTCTCTGGCTAACTTCTGGAAGAAGTAGCTTCCACTTGGTGGAGTAAGCTCCCACAGGTTGTGGTCACCAGGCTGGGTCTCACTGACCTTCCTGAGTACGAGCTCCCACCCAATGTGGTTGCCAGGTTACAGGCCTTACCAGGCCTTCCTGGTCATGAGCTCCCACACACTGTGGTCGCCAGGTTACAGGCCTCAACAGGCCTTCCTGGTTATGAGCTCCCACATATTGTGGTTGCTGGGTTACAGGCCTCACCAGGCCTTCCTGAATTCAGAGTGAAGTACACAAACCCATACTTCACCTATTATTGTGGTAAGTCACCCGACGAGATGTCTTGTGCACTTTTTAAAATCCATTTCTTATGGTGAGGGTCACGCGCAGTATGCTTCGGTCCCTTCTTATGTGGCTCAGACCCCGGTCTTTCCACGGGTCCCACTTTAAGAGTTCTTAAGAGCTAACTTCTGGAAGTAGCTCCCACTTGGTGTGGTTTTTCAGGTACACCAGGCTGGGTCTCACTGACCTTCCTGAGTACGAGCTGCCACCGGATGTGGTCGCCAGGTTACAGGCCTCACTAGGCCTTCCTGGTTAGGAGCTCCCACATACTGTGGTCGCCAGGTTACGAGCTCCCGCATACTGTGGTCGCCAGGTTACAGGCCTTACCAGGCCTTCCTGGCCATGAGCTCCCACACACTGTGTACGCCAGGTTACAGGCCTCAACAGGCCTTCCTGAATTGAGAGTGAAGTACACAAACCCATACTTCACCTATTATTGTGGTAAGTCACCCGACGATATGTCTTGTGCAGTTTTTAAAATCCATTTCATATGGTGAAGGTCACGCGCGATACGCTTCGGTCCCTTCTCATGTGGTTCAGACTCCGGTTCTTCACTTTGGGTCCCACTGTAGATGTGTCTTTGTCGCAATACATTACGACAGGCACTTCCCTTGTTCAAGCTATCTCCCACAACTGTGGTTTTAGGTCTGATTAGACCTTTTTCGAGGTAGCCCCACATTGTGGGTCTGTCAGGTTTCTAGCCTCTGGCTTTCCTGAAGGATGAGCTTCCACATGCTGTGGTCGTTGGGTTTCAGGCCGCACAATGTACGGCCTTCCTGACATGAGCCCTCATGTTTCAGAGCTCCCTACACAGAGGGTCATCAGGTCTTAGGTCTCATTGACCCTCCTGATTTTGATCCCTCTCTTACTTCCTCAGTGCTCAAAAGCAAGCACTGGGTGGAAACTCGTGGATTGAGTGTACGATTCCCGTTGTTTTGAGGTTGAGTCACACTCTCTGGACGACCCCGTCTCTGTGATCTGAAACTCGATGGTTTCTGCCAGCTTCGCGGGCCTTCAGTTTTTGGATGCCTTTCCTAGGCAATTTCCAGAGGCTCTGTCTTGGACGGACAGGCTATGGCCAGACTGTGTGTCTTAGTACAGATCACCAGGCCAGCCTGGGGGCATTTCAGGAGGAGTGTTCTCCTGAATAGTGACTGGCTGGGGGTCCCTTTGGCCCCCTAGCCACACTCCCTAGAAGGGACCCCTTCTATTTTGAAGTTGTGGTCCTAAAGCCTTTGAGCTGGCCCCGATTTACCCACGTTATTACGTTCTGGTTTTTCTTGGTTCATTAGCTTGGGCTATGACCGGTAGGGAGTGCTGTCACTGACAGCCTGATGTAACATAGGGTGAGTGGTTTCAGTGTTCCTTGGAATTACTGGTTCTGACAGTTGTCACTGCCTTTTCGGCATGCACTCCCCTCAGCATGGCGGAGTGGGTATTTCGTTCCCCATTGCGTCATTCGACGTATTGTTGAGTTCCCTTCGAAAGGGAACGTCTCAGGTTACGACTGTAACCTATGTTCCCTGAGAACAGGGAACGAGACAATACGTCTCGTTGCCATGCCTCGGGGCCTGCCTGCAACAGTCCCTTCAGACGATAGGATGTTGTCACGGTTTCAAGGCGCCCTTCTTATACATCCAGATTGACGCGCTCATCATTCAAGCTGATGATGCACGGGCTGTCGCCGGTCAACCTGATTACTGTGAGTTGATATTTGATTTCAGACACCTGTCACGCCTGAGGCGTTCCCCATTGCGTCATTCGACGTATTGTCTCGTTCCCTGTTCTCAGGGAACATAGGTTACAGTCGTAACCTGAGACGTTTATTAAAGCCAACATATCTTTTGTTTGAATGTGTTGAAGTTATATGAACAAATTATGTTTGTTTAACGTAAGCCAGTTATGTGCAACCTGTTGACATAAAAAAAGTTAATTTATGGAACCTGTTGACATAAAAAAAAAGTTAATTAAAGCCAATATATAATTGTTTAAGGTCCACCTCTCACTTCCGGTCCTGGCACTGGTGTTAGAACGTAAGCTCCGCCCCATACTTCCGGTTCTGGCCCTGGGGTTCTGAAACTGGTGGTGCTGCGGGTCTGCAGCTGGATACTTGACCCACTAGTCACTTGGACTATTTTTATTATGTCTTTACTTACTTTCTGGGATGGCAAGTTTCAATTACATGGAAGCCTGGAGGAGTGTGACAGCTCTTAGATTTAATAAAAACTAGGGCTGCAACTAACGATTATTTTGATAATCGATTAATCGGACGATTATTTTTTCGATTAATCGATTAATCGGATAAAAAATTATATTCCATTTTTTTGTTTATTATAACAAAATAAAACCCTAAAAACCACACTCTTTTGTGTGTTAAACAATCTACTTAATACAGACAACTTCATTATAAAGAGAAACAACAAATAAAATATATATATATGACCATAACCTATGACAAAAATGCTATTGTAAACTAGATTAGTGGATAACTCAGCAAAACTTAGCCTAGAAATATCACAAGTGCACAATAATTTTATAAAATCTGAACATTTAGTGAAAAAAAAAACATTCCTTAGTGGGGAACAAATAAGAGACAATAAGTGTAGCACTAACAATGGTAAAACGTACACATTGCTCTTTGTATTGTTGTTATACATTCATGAAAAACATCGTAAAAATCAGATGCACAAGTTAAACTGTTTTAAATGTAAGCACAGCTGTTTAGTGAGGAAGCAAAATATAATAGATAGGACAGAACAAGAAAGGCTATTAATAAGCTTTCATTGCGCAAAAGTATTATGACATGATCATGAAAGAGCTGCACAAAGTGCTTATGCTCATCGCGAGCGCTGAATGAACACGGAGTCACAGGGCGGCGCGCAGTTCTTCAGTGTCCGCCGCATTAAGCACCAAGGAAAGAGAAAGACATATTGACTGTGTATTACACCGTATCTATGCAATAGTTTATTGAGACTTTTCTTTTAACAGTTTTAAATTTCAGTTAGGCTACTGTGCACGTGAAGAACAATTATACTGCGCCGACTCTATAGTGTTGTGATCTAACAGACACTCAGTAGAAAGTGATTAAGTTACAGCAATAAAAGTCTAGCAAGATAGAAAAACCATCATAGACCTTTATCTACGGATCAATTATAATAATAACATTGAATCATCTTGGAAAGAGATCATCATGTGTTAACTGTTGTAACGCGACGGGCTGTTTGAACACCGAATAGAGAATGACTGACAGCCGCAGTGGAGGGAAAAGCTTAGGTTAACTTGAATTTAATGACTTAAATATACATTTCTATCTCACATTATACTATAGTATGGCTTCATAAAGTATACACGATTAACGTAGGTCACCTATTTTGGTTTCAAAACGGCGAATTTACCGAAAGGTGAATGATTTTCGTGTATGCTGCATATTGATAGCGGTTTCCTGATGCCCGCAAATTAGTTCAAACTCACGGAATCAAGAGCGCGCATGCGAGACAGAAGATAATGTGCTCCAAACCGTCCGTGTTGCGCGCGCGAGACAGGGAAGAGCGGCGAGGGAGAGAGACTGCGTGTGTGCCTCATGAAGCGCATGTAAGAAGCGCATGTTCCATGTAAACAATCCCCGTGACGTAATCAGACCAACTAATCGATAATGACATTCGTTGACAACGATTTTCATAATCGATTATAATCGATTTTATCGATTAGTTGTTGCAGCCCTAATAAAAACATATCTTAATTTGTGTTCCGAAGATGAACGAAAGTCTTACAGAGTTGGAACAACATGAGGGAAAGTAATTACTAACAGAATTTCCATTTATTGTGAACTAACCCTTTAACTAGTGATTAATAGCATTACCGTTTTCTTTTTTTAAATGTATTATGTTTGAGTTAGCGTTAGTTCATTCCAGTTGTATGGAACATTACTAAAAGGCCCAACATTTTTACAAATAAAACTAGTTGTTCACTGCATTGTAAGTCAATTTGTGAAGTAAGTGCTGGCTAACAACATGATAGAACATTTTTAAATAATTTTGTAAAGAATTGTATTATATATTACAAGTTTCCTATTTTATGTACTGTTGGAACTGATGTATTGACAGGAATATGATTGGCAAATTTAAAAGACAGGTAATGCTTGCAAATATATTTGCGGGGATGGATTGGCAGTTATTTAAAATTAAGGGTCAAAGAGCCTTTAGAGAGCTTGTTAACACTGCTTTTAATATTTGTGGTCAAGGCAATTAGCATGAGACCAGTGTCCATATATAGCAATCCAAATCAAACTTTTAGAGAGCATAATGGGAAACATGACAACAGAGGATATGGTAAGGTCTTGTCACTGAAATGGCAATGTGCTACTGTTAGATATTTTAACATTTGCCTTTTTTTCCATCTACAGACAGCCTAGCTAAAGACAATTCAAACTAACTTTCTAAAACTAGCTTTTCAATTACTTAAATATAATCAAAAAATAAATCTTCATAATAACTGAATGTTCTTCCAGATGCAGCCACCACTGGAGAATGAGTCCAGTGTCTTAGTATTTACACTCTCTGGTCTGAATGAAACAATGGAAAACAGACTTGTGTTTTTATCTTTCACTGCAATGTTTTATCCCCTCATGGTGTTTTGCAATGTAACTGTAATTTTCACCATCATTCTACATAAGAAGCTTCATGAGCCGATGTATGTGTTTATATGTAATCTGTGTGTAAATGGACTTTTTGGCACTTCTGGATTCTACCCTAAATTCATGTATGATCTATTAGCACACGATCATGTGATTTCTTATGCTGGATGTCTGATTCAGATATTTGTCATTTATTCATCTGCTTTGTGTGACTTCTCAACATTAACAGTGATGGCATATGACAGGTATTTGGCAATATGTAGACCACTTGAGTATCATTCAATAATGACCAATCAGATGGTTTTTAAATGTATCATTTTCTGCTGGCTAGCTCCATTTGTTTGCATGTCTATTCTAATTCTTTTAATATCTAGACTCACCTTATGTGGTGCTACTATTGAAAAGTTATTCTGTGAGATTTGGGCAGTTGCAAAACTTTCTTGTTTTTCTACAACTTTAAATAATGTGTTTGGGTACATTGTTATTCTTACATATTTTGGACATGCAGTATTCATATTTTGCTCATACATTCACTTGATTAGAAAGTGTATAAAGTCAATAGAGGGCAGGCACAAATTCATGCAAACATGTGTGCCACATCTGCTTTCATTGCTCAATGTGACTGTTGCTTTGCTGTTTGATGTACTGTACAGTCGTTATGGCTCAAAGAATGTGCCTCAAGGTGTGCGTAATTTCATGGCCCTGGAATTCCTACTTGTACCTCCTATTTTAAATCCACTTATTTATGGACTAAATCTGACAATAATACGCCAGCAAGTTATAAGAATGTTTTTCAAGAAACAAGTGGGAATATCATAGTGAATATTTTAATATTATAAAAGACCTTATGCTTTTTGTGTTTTAGAATGAGTGTGACCCTTTTTTAAGAAAATTTGAAATATTAGGATGACGATAGTTCCTTATTAGGTAATTAATAATTACTTAATAAGATTGGCATCACTGAAAACTCAGGTAACTGTGAAAAATGATAAAGAATTACTAATTAATTACTAATCACAACATTATAGTGTCTGAGACGTTAGCAATTGTCTGTTTTTCCTCTCAACATAGTTATAAAATGAATCACAAATTAAGTGTTCCCTAGTCACTATACAGGAACTACTAGCGATGGACCATTATTTTATAGTCAAAAAGATGTTTTTCACTTTACATTAATGGTCTAGATCACTAATAGTTCCTGCATAGTGACTAGGTAACACTTGAGCAGTTAGTGATGCGTTTTATAACTATATATTGAGAAAAAATGATGACGGATTATGTCTCAGACACACAATAATGTTCTTTATAATTGGTCAGTTATGGTTATTAATGAGGCTAATCACAGGGAATTGTTGGTTGATATATTTTAATTAGGAATATCTCCTAAATTTGATATTACTTACCGAGTTAAGCTTTTTTCTATATTAGTAAATCATAGTAGCTGGAGTTTTAATTTAATAATACCCATTAGTCTATAGCATTACTTTCTGCATTAATGACAGACCATTATTATAAGTGTTAACCATGAAATGGATTTCAACCCCCTCAGCCATTAAACAATTTCTGTACTGCACAGCCTTGACAACACAACTGTGTTTGGAAGAACTTTTTTTTTTAAATAATTTTTCTTGTATTCAGTGTACTTAATGTTTGTTCATGTAAAATAAAACATTCACATAAAGTGCTGTTCAAAAACTGTCTGTGTATTTGTTTTGACAAGAATGTGTCAAATCTTTTTTCAATGTGTCAATTTTTTAATCATTTAAAAAATATTTTGAATACCACAATAATGTGAGGCCTAGATCACATGCTTTTGCATTTCTTTGCCTTGCATACGATCATTCTCCCACTCACTGCCATATCATCAAATTGGGGATTCAAGGGATGCAAACGGGGCTGACATACGTTTCTATAGTATATGTTTCTATAGTAATGTCCCAAGCTGCATTAATAGTTATAAAGTTGTGTTTTCAAATGAGTAATGGAATGAAATGAAATTGAGTGCAAGATACATCATTTTTATAAATAAAGTCTGTATTTGGGTTACAGTATTTAACCCTTAAAGGGGTAGTTCACTAAAAATTTTGCCATTGTTTAATCACCTTCAAGTTGTTCCAAACCTGTATACATTTCTTTGTTCTGCTGAACACAAAGGATGATATTTGATAGAATGTGGGACACTGAACAGTTTTGTGGCACGAAAGTTTGTAACCATCTTTGGGCACCATTGACTTCCATAAGAAAATAATTACTGTAAAAAGTCAATGGTGCCCAAGGATGGTTACAAACTTTCGTCATCTTCCTTTGTGTTCAACAGAACAAAGAAATTAATATATGTGATGCGATCTGGGAAAACCCACCACATGGTGAAATGTGACATATTACAGGTTTTGAGACCCTATTAAAGCTGGATTCAAGCCTTTTCCAAATCTGTTTTTATTTGTTATATCGTTTTTCTGTAACAAAAGCTGATCGCTATGATTTTCAAAAACTGAATTTTGAGAAAAAACGCTTTAATTAACTGTCACGTCCTGTTAGCGGGACTACTGGTCAGTGTTGTAGTCGAGACTCCGAGACTCCAAAACCAGTGACATCCAACCCAAAGTATTGTAAGTTTGAATAGATGTTTTAATTAACAATTAAAAAAAATACAAATCCACATACAAAATACTAAATACAATACACACAAAGTGCATAAATTAATTTACAGTGTTACAAAAAAAAATTTAGGCTACGTCTACAATCTGATGACACTGCTGTTTGAAATGGTTCAATGTAGGCGCGCGGTATGCGCGCTCATAATGGAAGCGATGCGGTCGTGGTGCGACGTGCTTGTTTTTCCATGCGTTTTTCCGCGCCGCGTCGAGATAAAAACATCTCAACTTTTCAGAATACCGCAAGCGCACCATACGCACACAATAAGTCATGTGACAAGAACCAACTGAAGCGCAACCGCCCTGGTGCTTTGGAAAATGGAGAATGCGGCGCGCCCAGCGTTTTTAGGCGCTATATGTGAATCCGCCCTAAAATTACAGTGCCTGACAGTCTATGCACACAGTATGATAGATCTTCATTGGAGAGCATGTGTCAAAGTTTAGTCAAAGGGCAGTTTGAATCCGACATAGCTGCCTTCCGCATCTGGGAATTGTTGCCGTATACACAGGATAACACATGATGGTATTACAACCCTGATCTTTCTGCCTAGATAGCCCCAGCACCAACAGACAAAGCTTATGTAAGCCAAATGCCTGTAGCGCCAAAAATTAAACATTCTAAAGGTGTTTTGGAAAGTGTTGTGTGTGTGTGTGTCAGAACTATTGTTATTTGAATATAAAATGTTACATTAAATATTTATAATCCATATTAACATAAAACAATTGTGTGTGTCAGATTTCTTACTGGTGTAATCCTCTAAGTCTCAAAGGACCATAGTCTGCCCTGCAAATGTTATGTGCTTCTATAACAAATACAAATTTAGGCAAACAGGTTCAAGTCCCGGGTGATGAATCATACAGGTAGGTGGTACTGGTGCCTGGTTAATTCTTCTGACAACCTATTGAGAAGGCTATTGAGTTTACAATTGTAGTCCAACATGCATGACATGTAATACTCAAACATGAAGATTAACATAATTATTATTATTTTTCTTTCATTATGTGCACATACTTCAGGGGTCTCCAGGCAGAATTTATGTTCTTCCTCAGTGGGCATTGCACCACAATTGCCTCAAGTGCACCTGTGAATGTTTAAAGCAATCAAAAATATGGTGTTTGATATGACACCGTTTTATGTAGAATTGTCATTTTAAGGGTATTTACAATATTACTTTTTATTTAAGATAATCTTGAAAATATGTAGCCTTTCTAGTAGGCCTACATGTGCAACATGACATCATGACTTTTGCATAAACATACACGCCACTTTTAAGTCAAGTGGCGTGTTATGTTATCTACACACATTTTGAGCTATCCGCATGTATGCGTGTATGTACACGCCATTAAATATCCGAGCGAAACGAAGCAAAATGTAGATCTACATCTAGGGAACAATATTTTTTTTTTTCTAGGATGGTAGGGGAAGACTCATAAATGCTTTTTTTTATTAATTCAAAATAGTTACACTTTCCATGTGGACACGGGCTGATCCAGTCTTCGTTGTTGTGGTGATGGTTAATTTTCTTCTGATTCGTCATCTGATTCCGGCTCAAACATATAAGGTTTTATCATTGCAAAAGCCATCTCTTCTCCTCGCATTGCTTCGCATGCATCACCCGCTACTAAGCAGTTATGCTGAATCCGCAAATGTTCTGGCTGGGACGTCAATAATTGATGCATAGGCACTGACATTAGCAATCATAACAGTGGGCGTTAACACTGAACTCTTAAAGGGGAAACACCCCCAAAACAGACTGTTTGAATCAGAGGATGGGTGGGAAAAGGTCACAAATCACTACATTTTAAAAGTTTTTTTTTTTTTTTTTGTGAAAAAAAAACTATAGTAATACTATAATTGCACCTAAGGGAACATAATAATAAAATAAAAAAAAACTCATGTCACGACCCCTTTAAATGAACTGCCGGTACACTATATTTATTTAAAACAGGGTTGCATCGATTTTAGAGTTTATTCCCTTTGTGATACAAAATGAGAAATATAGAATCGTATTCTTGTGAAATTGGTATTGCCAAAGAAACTGCAGATAAATTAAACAAGTAAAACAGTACAAAATGAAAATAGTAAAAAGCAACATAAATGAAGAACAGTTGTTTTCTTTTTTTGAAAAGATTTTAGGTCAGAAAAAACAATGGAAATCTGTACTAGTTTTAGTGAATGGTTAGGATGGCCTTTATTGATAAAAAATGTTTGGGGCAGGACTACAGGATGTCTTTTCAGAGGGCTGTTTAGGATGGTCATACCTCTGCTAAAAAGAGGATTTAGGATCACGAAACCCCACCTTAAATCTGCTGCTAAAATATAGTATGCAACGTCATCTCAAACGTCTCAACGTTGTCAAACGCTAATGGTAGAGCTTAAGACAGATCCGGTCTGATGGTTATGGCCTGTAAGAAACTGTCTAAACCACCGGGTATGAGGAGGCGTGGTCGTCAGCTAAAGAAGAAAACAAAGCCTAGACCTAAGAGGCGCTCAGTTGTAAGTAGAAAGCGTTAGAAGTCTGTGAGTCGGAAAGCGTTGGTTAAGAGATCCATAAAATCCACATTCTAACACATTCTGGCATAATCACATGTCAGGTGAATGCACTAAGTCTTTTTTTTTCTTTTTTGTTTTCTTTCTGAATGCACTAAGTCTGAGTTAGACTTATTTACGGTTCCACTGACGCAGGTGGTTATGAGAAAAACGGCTATTTAGAAGTTCACCCTTTATATGCCATATTGGACTCATAGCTAGGAACAGTGAAGATTATGTGGATCTAAATTATTATTATTTAGTACATCATAATTAATAATGTACTAAATTATTATTACATTATTATTTCTAGAACTTAAAATCACAAGACCTAACAGCGCTGACATTGCAGACCCTGCAAGGGTTGCTCTGATAAACTTCCTTCTATATTTTGATGGGAGCCTCTGCAATCAACTGATATGGCTGCTATAGTTTGAGCAAGTATCCTTACAGGTGCATCATAGAGAGTCAACTACAGTAAATATGCCTCGGAATCGCTTTTCTCAGCCGGTCTGTTTTACAAAAACTCAGCCGGTCACATACGTAGATGTGAATGATCCCGTCGGCAGTAACGCAAGGCTGACAAAGTGATCGTGCTAGACAAGCGAGAGTAAGGTGGTGGAGTTGTTGGCATC